TAAGAGACAGGTGCCAGGGTCCCCCTCGGCAGCCGTTACACCCCCTTTGCGGTCAGTGCCATGTCCCTTCCGCAAGCACCTGCGCGGTTTTGCCGGCCCTCCTCGGTCCTGGAAGCTCCCCGGGACCCGTTGGCCTTCGGGGCCGTGGCTCCGGTCCGCGAGGCCGCGCAGGCTCCCGGCTGAGATCTCTTGGTTAGAGAGAGAAAAAACAGCCCCGGCAGTGCACCGGGTGCTTCAACAGAAGTAACTCGGAGCTTGGTAGAGCCTTCCGTTAATTGTTCAAAGGGGAGCGGGAAGAAGAGGCACGATGTTAGGGCGGTTGGAGGAAGGGGAAGGCTGCTGCATGTTCCTGGGGAGGGAAATCCAGCTAAATTTAATGTTTTATCTTTGGCGTTTTCCTTCCGAACAGCACCAGTTTGCTGAGAAACCAGAAGTTCTTCCCCTCCCCAATTAAAATAAATTTTCACAGGTTAAAAAATAAAAGAATGAAGAGGAATAGGCGATTTTCTTTTTCCTTTTTCCTGGAATAAATTAGTTATTACAGCGCTTCATGGCTTAACTCCATCTGACTTCCACAACGATTCACAAATTATTTTTTTTTTCCTTTTAGTTAAGCACATGGGTACATCTTGGCAGAAATTATCATAGTGTGGGATCTCAGAATCATGCCTTGCTTATTTTGCTCCTGGTACATTAGAGTCCCAGGAACCACACTGTATTATTAGCACAGAGGACGTGGAAGAGTATTATCAGAAAGCTTTGAATGATCTCTTCACTGGAAGGGAAGAGAAGAGTACGCTAGCTTGTTTCAGTTTGTTCTCTGAAATTTCTTTTAGGTCTTGATTGCATGTGTGGCGTGACCTTGATATTTGAGCATCCTAATATCCCTGATATGGACATCATTTAAATTGATAAAATGTTCTTTTAATAATTTAGTGAGAACTAAAATTCTCACTGAAGAGAGGGTTTCATTTAGGTTTTTTACTGCTTTTTTTCTCCTTTCTCTGAAGCTGGAATATAAAACTAAAGGGAAACTTCAAAAGCAGATTTGTCAAGTTGCTCTGGATCATTTTGAGAAGCAGTACACAACGGAACTGGGAGAAGCATGGGCCAGTGTCAGGTCTGTTGTTTTGGGGAGATGGTGGTGTGAGAGGAGAGGTTCTGTTATTTTTTTTAAGTGATTAATAAAATAACTTTGAAAACAGCCATGGACTGTTACAACTGCTTAAATTTATTTTCAGTTTAGAACTAGTGTAAAAGTGTTAAATAGCAGAAGACTAAAACTTGGAATTTTAGTTTTTTCCTTGACATGATTCCTTTGGATGTGATGAAGCTTCTGTTCTGTATGCATGTGCTCTCCTAGAAGACTGCAATCTTATGTGTTTGTTGACTGTTTTGTAAAAATGTGATCCAAAAAGCATCCCTTTATACTTAACAGCTTCTATTAGGGTTTTTTTTCCTACAGCTTTATAGTAGCTTGAGAGACTGAGACAAAGATTTTAGGAAACAGGTACATCCCCCGATTTCTTTCATTAGAAGAAGTTGAATATTGATGACTTGCACAAAAGGCTATCAATTTGGGCCTTGATCACACAGCTTCTAAAGAACTGGCTATGGTATTGATAGAAGACACCTTCCCTGCTCACTGGTGGTGGTTCATTGGAAAGCCAGCAGAAGAGCCCTTCTGGAGAAGTTCACTGCCTAGCTTACATACTTTTCAAGAGGAATTTGAACAAAAGCAATTGACTGACCTAAAGCGCATGAGGAGCGCATCCATGATCAGTGTCACGTTACTTTGAATGGAAAAGCATCTTATGTGATCAGTCTTAGAAACCGTGATTCCCCTGAATGCCCTCTAGTATAAAATCAGTGTCCCCATTGTTTTAAAAAAAACCCAACAAAACAAAACCAAAATGTATAGCATTAGTTTAAGTGAATCAACTTAAAAACTTTTAGGTTGGATCAGTGTGTTTCTCTTTTAGACAGTGAATGTTCCTGAGGAGTATTTTTTGAGGCTAAATGAAAAAATACTGAGAGGAATTCAAATGGAAAGTGGGGAAATTCCATATAAGAAAGGTCTGAAAAAGTGGACTGAAATATGAACAAGAATGCTCCTCCCATATAAACACTGTTTTTTGACTGCCTGCTAGAAATATCTATTGGTTAAAGTTGTTCTGGCACAATGTCTGCAGAATAGAAAAGAAAATTTAGAAAAGAACAGTTGTAAAAACTCCATTGTATGGTGTGAGCTGGAATAACCATTGCAAAACCAACGTGACTTTTTTTGTTGTGATATTTACAACTAATATTAATGTTGTCCTTTGTCCCTAAGGAAGAACTTTGGTCAGAAGGAGCGTTATGCTTCATCATTTATAAATTCTACAGTTGTTTGTTAAAGAATTAGAAAAAGTAGAGAACATCTTGTTTCAGAATAAGTGCTTTAAAGGCAACAACTAGAGAAAATGGTGGCTTGATTTCCTATTAAAATTATTTTCCTGCATACTTTTCTTAATCATACCTAATGTTCAAAGTAACTTTTCCTTTTTTTTAATCTAGAGATGTACTCACATACCCATTGTGCTGGCAGTACGCCATTCTGCTTAACAAGTTCAGCCCATCTGCTGAACTGGAGAACACCTTGCATGTGAAGGGATATCATCCTGCCTTTCCAGGAAGTTTACCCTATCTTCCTGCATCTTTTAAGTGTTACATCAGGAGAACCCCTGGGAGATTCCCTGCACAAAAACACCAGGCTGGTAAACTGAAAGAGTATTACCTGCTGAACGCTGCTTCACTGTTGCCAGTGTTGGCATTAGAAGTGAAAGATGGGGAAGACGTTTTGGATCTCTGTGCTGCACCAGGGGGTAAATCAGTAGCTACACTGCAGTGTGCCTCTCCAGGTAAAGCATCAAGGTGCTGTTAGAAGCTGATCCCTGTCTCTGTGCTTGAGCTTTTTCAGTTGTGCCTGTTTTGGTTTTAAGATTTGGGTTTGGGGTAAAAAAACAAACAGCAGTTTATATTCTAAGTAGTTCCGTGCCATTTAGTAAGATTTTATGGTCTGTTTACCTAAAAGAGGATGAAAAATGTGCTAATTATTTAAATATAGGTTACTGTAGACTGACAGACAAAAATGGAGTAGCTCATGTTTTTCTTTCTCTACTGGTTCCCTTTTTGTTACTGCTCAAGAAGTTACTTAAAATCAGGTAGATTTGTTGGCACAGGGTGATTAAGATCTGCAATCTTAATACTTGTAATTTTGTTTGGTTGTTTTGTTTTTTTTTTTTTTCCTTTTCCTCTGCTACTGCTCTGGCCAGTTCTATGCAAACAGTATAAGTAAATCTAAGTGTACTGATGTAAATCAGAGAATAACACATTTAAATGTGCAAGATCTAGGCAGAAGGAGAAAGCTTATGATGAAGAATTGTTCTGTATCAGTATTTAATAAGCTTTGTGGTTCAATCCACATGGTATTCCACAAGGGCATGAAAATAATCACAGTGTTTAGGAAGCAACAGCAAACAGCAGGTTGGTCTTTCCAGGCTAGGGAGTTAAGGCAAGCTGTGATTGTTGTTTCCAAGTGTCTGTATTAGCTTGGGTAGTAATTGTCTCAAAATGTTCCCAGCACCTTATGTTCTTACTGATGAGACCATTACTATAACCACCTGCACCTGTTGATTACAGCTGGTTCTCCCTTCCTCTTATAGAGGAATGAGGTGATGCCACTGAGGTAAATTAAATGTGGATTACCCTTTACAAAAAAATCTGCTTTTATTCTGTTGTTGCTTCTGAAGATACTCAACTGTTGCTGGGAACGTAAGATGTAAGGAAGTTGTCTTTAATATACATCAAAGAATGCTAAAATGTACCATATTGTGCTTGACAAACATGGTGTAGGACAACCTGTAGACACATGAAAATAAAATGTTATTAAATTAGAAAATGGGACTAAGGAAAAGATACTGTGCTGTGTTTCTGGTCTGGGTGCAAGCAGCAGCAGTGTTTCTTCTGAAGGGATAACTACTCTTGCTACATTGTTAAAATAAGTGCAACCAAAAGGTTTCTGTTGAAACACTTCTAGCTCAAATTTCAAATAGCTAGGGAGTTGGACTGCTTGGCTTAGGATACACAAAACTGATATTTATTTAAGAGGTAATTAATTAATAAGAGTAATGTACTTACTTTAGACAATGGCTCAAGGAGCCGAGAAAGACTTTCTTAGCACTGGTCTTTCGATATGGATTATGGTTAAAGTTTGTTTTACTATGGAAGTCTGTTGCTACAGAAAGTATTTGCTACTAAATATGGATTCCTCTGTAGGAGCATGTTGAAATTTACTTGGGTTTATAAAAGTTCAGCAGTGTTATAAAACATGCAATAACATAAGCACGAGGTGTATAGTCATGGCAAAATGGTAGAACTTCTGAAATTGGTGTAACTCCTTGTATTTGTAAAAAGCCAAGACTTTATTTTTCTAATTTTCTAAGGTCAGTTTCACTGTAATGAATATGATGATTTGAGGTCAAGATGGTTGAAACAGACAATAGAATCCTTCATCCCGGATCCTTTGATTAACTTAATAATGGTCTCTAAACTGGATGGTAGACACATTGGAGATCTTAAGCCTGAATTATATGACAAGGTAACATTATGTCTTATTAGCAAATGATATTTCTACATTCTGCTTCTTCTTCTTCCTGTGCTGCTTGCTTTTAAATTTTCTTTCTTTTTCTGGCCCCCACAAAAATATCTGATCTATCAAGGGGAACCAAGGTCATGTACAGGATTTCAGAGCCTCAGGAATTACTTTATGAAGCCTCTTGTGCATTTAATCATGTGTTAGATGATATTACCCACAGAGCCTTGGTAGTGAATTCTGAAGATCTTGCAGCAATGTTCTTTGCACAATGTGTAATTAGGAAGGGGGGGAAAAAGTGAGAGCTCATCGGGTAGAGGGTACTTTTGGAGCAGTAATTTCTTATCCCCCCCTTCTCCCTCCATAACTCCATAAAAACATCTCAAAATAGTAATTAGATCATTTCTGCTGCTAAAATGGAAAATAAAAAGGGTGTTCCAAGTGTATGCAAAAGTAAGTTGAGTGGATTTTTGGCACACAGTGTTCAGAAAGTGAGTATCTTTATTGTGAATTGTCTTATTTGCTCTTATTTATTTATTGCTTAGGTACTGGTTGATGCTCCTTGTTCAAATGACAGAAGTTGGCTATTCTCTTCCGATATTCAGCAAGCTACACTTAGGCTAATACAAAGGAAGGAGTTACCATATCTACAATTCCAGCTGCTAAGGTGAGAAGTGCAAAAGAAAGCTTTTAAAAGAGTTTTTCATAATTAATAAAAATTATATGGGGGCAAGATTTGTCACGTTTCATAATCAAAACCAGGTTTCACTATGTGAAAAGAAAGTGAAGAATATGTTGTTGCAATGCTGTTTGCAATAAACAGTTGATCTAGGTTAATGCGAATATGGAAATTTGTATGGGGTAATATAAGCTGTGAGGCATAGGTCATCTATGTATTGCTGTACAGTCCTCTTAACTCACTTGTTCACGTATATGTCCATTTTCAGATGACTCGGAACAGTCTGGTAAAACATCAAAATATTTTTGGTGGACACAGCTAGAACGGTTTCAGATATAGTCCTCAGTTGAAGCAAAAACATGTATAATTTTTAATAGTGCTTTTTTAACTGTCTGTGGAAGTAGTTTATAAACCTACCAAGTTGGGCATTCTTCCCCAACTCATTTTGTTGTTGTTCTTTCACAGAATTATCCTTTACAGTTCTTTATTGCAGACTTTTTGATAGCTGAGCTGTAAGTCAGGGCTTGTTATCAGCCATCACTTAGGTCATTAGTTAGTGCTGCTTGAGAATTTGCTTTCTGGGCTGTTAATATGAAAAGATTGAGTCCACTATTGTACTTTCTTACATGCTGCTGGAATTTAATAGCCATTTGACTATGTGTAGCAGAGAAAGATTACTGATCATAATTGATAGGGTAAAAAAAGTAAAAGAGTGCGGGTTGTGGTAGGAGAGAAAGGATTGTTTATTTATTTTTCAAGAACATCCACCTGTAATTCAAATCAAGGTTGTTGTGTATTAGATTTTTTTAATACCAACCATAGGCTAGTATTTGTGAAGCATTTCTAACTACAGTTTTTCTTGGGGGGGGGGGCGGCGGCAGGGAGTGTTTTCCCAATAATACTTTCTAGACTTGAGTGTTTTTTGCAGAGCAACAGTCATGCCTGAAGTCCATCTGTCAAAGAAAATTGAGGGAAGAATAACATATTATAAAAAAGAAAGTTTTCATGGAAAGTTCCCATTTCAGCAGTTCAGGATAGTTTTGGTTTTGCATGACTTCCAGTTGAAAAAGGCCTAGCAGAAGCCTATGATTTATAACAGAAATACAAGTATCTTATTGCAATAATGCATCATGTCACCCATTTCCTTTGAAGAAATCAATCACATCTAAAACACTGACCTGTTTCAGTTTTCCCTTTTCAATATTTGACATATAAAATCCAATTTGTGAACCTGTACCAAAAGAAAGCATATATATCATGAAGAGAACTTTGAGAATTTGCATAAATCACTCCAGATTGTAATCCTGAAGCAGAGAACTCATGACAGCAGAAACCTTGTTTTTAAAAAAACGAGACATTCCTGTCAGCCCAAATCAGATTTAATTGAATATTCCTAAATCAAGAAGAGAACTTTGCTTCTGCTGAAAGTATACTTTACTATAGCAACTGCAATAAAGATTAGAATTGTAAGGACAATATACTTTTGATATGTAAATCGAAGTAAAAGGACAGTAATTTCATTGCTCTACATAGATCTGAGTAGTTCTGTAGATTGACCAATCTATTGTTATGTGCACTGGATTTTTTTTTTTGTCTTTTAAAATATTTTGGAGCATATGAAATAAATGCTTAGGTTCAAGAGTTAGAGATTACAAGCGTTATAGTGTAAAATACTGGACGTGTACTTAGTAAATGGTATAGCTGTCCACTCTATTTTTATTGTACCTTTTGTCCGATCACTTTAGACAGAATTTCCACTACTAAAAACATCTCGGACGCCATGTGAAAGGGAAGAAGGAAATGATAAAAATGAGACCAGGAAAGGCTAACACGTTAATGCAAGTGCATTAGATGTTTGGCAGAATTAAAATTATGAAATGCTACCCTGTTCAAGCCTTTGTTTTATGGCTAGAGTCTACAAATAAAAATTTGGGTTTGAATCCCATCTCAGATTACTTCCAGTAATATTCAGAAAGGCTGAAGCTGTGTTGATCCAGCTGTACTGCATTTTACGTGAGTCAGCTCATGAAGAGCTACCTGTGGTTTATCTATTCAGATTACCTGGTGCTTTATGTTCATGGGCATTTCTCACCTTGGTTCCTGTATCTGTAAACCAAAAACAAGTATAAAGCTAGATGCCAGCAATTTTGTTGAGAGTAGTGTAAGAAATACTGTGTGATTTGAAGATGAAACTTAAAGTATAAGGACCAAGCATTATTTCAGTTTAGCAGTAGTATTAAGTATAAGGATAACACATGGGAAGAATGAAATGCAAAGGCTTATTGTGTTTCCATTTCTGTCAAGTCACATTTAGCCCAGACTTTGAGATCCCTCTTAATTAAGGAAATGCTTCACTTGTAATCTGTTTTTCCAGGTTTGGTTTTTTTTTTTTTTTTTTTTTTTTTAGTAGTAGATCTGCTTGGGTGGGGAAGCTGGGGACATCAGAAAGGAAGTGAAGGGAAGAAAAGTTTTTGCAAGATAGTGTCATTTATTAAGAATGTAGAGGTTTCAGAGAATGAAGATCTGGAAGAAATGTTGAAACTGATGCAGCAATCTTCCTATTCCAGTCTGAATAAAATATGAAATGTAAATAAATGGCATAAATGCTGAACAGCAAATTTTATAAGCAGTGAGGGCACCACTGATTTGAAAGAAATTAAGATTGTAATGATTGTTAATACCAAAATCAAAGCATCCCTGCTGTGTGCTATAATGCAAGAACACACTGCAAATCTTGTTATTATTTGGAGTGTTCATACAGAAAACAAATTGCAAAGTAAGGAAGGAATGTTCATTTCCTGATACTGAATGCTAGCGCAAAATGCAGTGGTTCCTCTAAGTGAATTTACCAATGTTATCAGTTTTCAGATAGAAATTAAATTTTGGGTTAAGCTCAAGTGCATAATACCTTAGTGGTGAAACTGTTATGGATGTTATAATTATTACTAGACCAGTTACTGCAGCTAGAAGAAACTGTGTTAAGGCTCAGCATAAATCCAACAGGATGAAATTTAGAAAATGCAGCAAAGGCATTCAGACTACTGTAACTCTTCTATACACAACATCTCTCAGCACCAATTGGTGTTTAATAGAGTTCTGGTCCACAGGAGCTCAGACTAACTTTAAAAAATACATACTGGTTGACTTTCCTTTTTCACCTCATTTTCTTCCTAGTAGTTAGCTACAATTGAGGCTCTGTGTGTATGTCTTAGATATTATGCAAAGTTAAGAGATTTGTGTGAATTCAGGATGCATAAGAAGTTTGAAGTGTGCTTTGGATTACTGGTGGCAAAATAAGCCATACACAACGCTCATTTTCCTAGCTTATCTCTTTCGAGTTGTATGTATTCTCATTTTCCAGAACTCAGGGTAAAGCATTAAACTTGGCTTGAGAAACCCAGAGAACCCTTTATTCTTCCTAGTTCATGAAATGTTTCAATCCCTGTTTTGTTTCTAAATACAATTTTAAAGGAAGTGTCTGGTTCTGTATAACATACGAATCCGCTCTTACAAACCCTATGCAAGTGGAGTGCAATAGTGAGATAAAATGAATGTTGCCCTCTGTACAAAGAATGTTTTTACTTTGGTTATCAGTCAGAATATGGTATTTGAAATTGCTGGTCTTTTTCAAGAAGAGGCTGCCAGAAGTTTTGAGGTTTTGGTGTTTTTTTTCTTATTGAATGAATAGTTGTGCACATGTTTTTATTTTGAAGGGAAAAAAGCAACCTCAACCCAAGTATCCTGAACCTATTTTTCTGAATTAAACGGTACTTAAACCATTAGTTAATGTCATATGTAAGTAACCAGATGTTGTGCAAGTGGCTTCATAAAGTTTGTGATCTGTGCTTGTCTTGCTGCTTCTGTCCCAGAGCAGTGACTGCTGCTGATGCAGCCATTTCCTATGGTGGTTTAGCAATCTACACACATGGGAAGTAAAATGAGATTGTCTGTTTCCCTCGAGTCATCAGGTAGAATTGACAACCTGAGTCTCTAAAGGCTAATCTATGTGCCACATGACCTGCTTTATTTTCTCTAGTTCCAGACCTTTGAAAATATATCTTAGAATAAATGTTAAAACTGTTGGTGAAAGTGTAGGACACAAACGTAACAAACCTTAAGTTACAAGCTGCTGTTTTCTCTGGTATGTGAAAATTAGTGATGTGGTTTCATAGAATGAATGTAGATTTACTTGTTGAAAAAGAGTCTTTTTCACATGGTGTGTAGTAAATACTGTGATTTACTGGAAAAATCCTGATAGTCTTCCTCCCGCATTCAGTGTCACCTCTAGTTTTCAGTGAAATGTAGAGTTTTCCACATGTACCTAGAAGAAGAATTGTGTGCTTTTAATTGGGGGGGTGGTGGTGATGGTGTTGGCAGTGAAGGCAAAAATTGTTTTTTATAAGTTATACCATCATATATTTAGCATATGGTACTATTACACCATTTCTGTTTTAAGACAAAAGCCTTTATAGTACATGGGCATGTAATGCTGAAGTAAAAAGGAAGATACTCAGAAATAGCTAGCTGTCCTATGCAGTGATTCAGTTTTCAGTTTTGTGATTTGCTACTGATGAAAAACATCTCAGCCTTTAGTGTTCATTGCAAAGGCAAGGAGAGCCAGTGTGTTGAACCTTTAAAAAAGTTTACCATTGTAGAAGTTGCTTGAGTTTTAGTTCAAGCATTAAAAGGGTGGTAGGGCTGAATGTCACAGCAGAAGGAGAAGCACAAGGGAGTCCCTCCAGAAATATGTCAACTCTCTTGTGCCACAGATTTCTGTTTCAGCATGTGCTGGAAGGAGCTCCCTGGGTGAAGTTCAGGCGTGTTTTGGAGTGACCACAGGGGATTCTGAACTGTGGTACCAGAGGGGGAAGCAATTTTCTGTGGAGAAGGGAAACAAGTCACATAGGAAAGTGGAGAAAATAATGATGAGAATTGTTTCATCACACTGTTCTTCAGCTCTTTCCCTAGAATTTTTCTCTTTGCTCCCC